CTTTGTGAAAATTGTAAAACTACATGCAAACTACAATTTGTTGCAGAGAACTTAATTTAGAGAACTACTAAACCCATAACAGTAAAATCAGTCTGTATATGCAGTGAAGTATGCTTGTTATGCTCACGGTGGAACCTAAGGGGTTAATCCTCTGCATTGTGTAAAAACGCTGTTTGATCCTGACTTCCGCTTCTTCCAGTGTACCCCTCTTATATCCTGATAAGACATACTGTGTGGAGTCACTCTGCACATGCTCAGTTCTCAGTTTTTTGGGAGGGTGCATGTGATCAGTATAGGGCCAATCAGCACTGTCTAGACAGAGGTCAGGGGTTCTGAATCCTCCTAGAGCACAGGTGTGAAACTGGCAGCCCTCTAGCTGTTGCCAAACTACAAGTCCCGTGAGGCATTGCGAGATTGACAGTTACAAGCATGACTCTCAAAGGCAGAGGCCTGATAGGACTTGTAGTTTTGCAACAGCTGGAGAGCTGCCAGTTTGACATCCCTGTCCTAGAGCAGAAAGAAAACTCCTTCTACAAGCTTTAACTAGTGATCTGCTGAACACTGATAGAAGTCACAAGACTGCTCCAACTGCTGATGGGAAAAGGCATTTAGCAGTTTATATTTACTAAAATAATTGTATGTCCATGTAGTGTGTACTGTGGGAGACCAACAGAGGAATTCAGGGTCCTGGGTTTAGTGACACTATAAGCTCAACTATAGCTAAACGTTTTGTTTTTTGTTTTGTTTTTTTAATTTGGACAAAATACATAATTTTAGGGTTAGGGCTCATGTACACTGCAGCTGACAAACTCACGTTAGGAGCTGTGTCAGCAATTTTTTCAGCAGCCCCTTAATTCACCCTAATGTTTTTCTATGTGTCCATATACATATCTTCGTTTACAGTCATTTACAGGCATTTGAGTTTACAGTTGTTTTTTTCAACGCAGAAAACTTGCGTTCAGCAGTCGATTTTATCAGCGCTTTAAACACAAAACGCTTGTAAATGCAGCAAATCGTGTTTATAAACTTTTGCAGCTAAAATTTGATTTAACTCTTCCCGCTCCTTATGCTGTCCAGAGCCTTTTTTCATCATGAAAAATGCATGCAAAGTGTTTTCAAGGTACTCAGATGGACAAAACACTGAACACAGGATGTTCCTACCAAGCTTGTCACACAAAGTAATGATCAATTCACACCTGAGACCCCTCCCTTCCTTGGAAAAAAAAAAGATATTTTAATGACCATTCACACCTCAAATTCCTCATGAAGACCCCCTGCCAGGTGGCCTTAATGATTCACTCCAGCAGACACCTGTCCTACCCTTGGAAACAAAAGAAATGTTAATGAGCAACTCACACCTAAGCTAATTTCAACACATACTGCTGTCTCTGCTTCTACTTTCTGTATTTCTCTGAAACAGTCTGAAATAGTTAATAATTTGCCACTTTTGGACATTTGGGAGGTTCTCCTGTGCTTTTAAAAATGCTTCTAAATGCAAACGCACATAAATGCGCGAAAAACTAATTATGCAAACACGGCTAAACAGGCATTTTTTAACCTATGTTTTTCAGCAGTCAGTTTCTATAGTTCAGAAGTGTCCCGTGTACATGGGGCCTTAAAACCTTATTGTCCCTTTTGGGGAGCGTTGTGTGTGGTTACTTGATTAGGAAATGAGGGAGCTTCTGACAAGTGCTCTTTCCTCTTTGTATTCCTATTGCAGGGATTCCCCTTACTTTCTGTTAATAAAGTAGATGAAATCTCATAAACTGCATTACAGATAGCAGAGAATTCAGAAGTGGTCTATCAAAATAAAATAATAAACAGTGGCTACAGCTGGATTTTAAGTTTACTCTGTGAATATTGTTCAAACAGTTTTAGAGTGGATCATGTTATAACCTATTCAGATCAATAATGCAGATCTTCCAGCTCACCTTTTTCTTTATGGTTAAAGTGATTCAATTCCAGTAGTGATATAATATCTTGACTGACTAGAGCACATTTAATAACCCACTGATGACTCAGTGCTGTGAGTGTTAAAAGGGAAGCTGAACATTATAGATTTCTTCTATTTTTTGCAAAGAGTATGCTGTCCTCTTGTGATCTTTGATATCTTAGATCAAACAGTAGCTAAAATCTAGGAGACTAAATCATATCTCAAGGCAGGTGCCATTTTGAATTGCTATAGAAATATCCTTTGGTCTCCTAGTTGTTTGGTCTCCATTTCCTAACTTCAGTGTACTGAAAAAAACTGAATAAGTAGGAATTCATTCTTTGCATAATTTACTTAAAGTGGAGCGTACCTTTGACGAGAAAAGCAATATTTTAGCGATCAGTTATTTCCCTTGCAATGTTTTTTGTATGTCTTATGGAGACTTATGGTTATTTGCCTTTATTCTGTAGATACTGAGACAGGGCATCACAGCCATTTCTTCATATTTAGTGCAAAGTGAAAAGATTTGCTTTTATAATGTCATAATCTTTCTTCTTGTAATAAGAGTAATATTGCACCCCCCACACATGTGTAGATGTACGTACATTATATGCTCAGAAATGAAAGACTTACTTTAGAAAACCTATTGAAAATAATAGGGAATCCTGCAATGTACCTCAAGCTTTGTGCAGTTTTGACTTTTTTTGTAAGGGAGAATTTTATAGGTAAATAGCAGGCATAAAATATGATAAATGCATATTTTATGGGAATATTGTTGTTGTATTTATTGGTCTGAAGACAAGGCCTCTTTAAAGCAATTGTAAAGTTTACACTTTTTTACTAAAATAAAAAACATATTATACTTAACTGCTTTGTGCAATGGTATAGCGCATAGCGGTCCACAACTTCCTCTTTTGCTGAAACTCTGCAATTGCTATGGTGGCACATGTGTGGGCTTGCTCCCGAGCCAGGCTGCTTTAGTTCATAACAGTGAAAATAAGGGGCCTGGATGCTAAGGTGAATGATAGGTGGTTATTGAGCATCAATTTGTGGCATGGATGGCAAAACATGGCAGCTCACATCATCATATGAACCAGATAAAGAGAAGAAAGTATAAGTGTATAAGGAGCGCCAGGGATTAGAGTCTACAATAAAATAAATTTGTCAACCCGAGGAGTAAATGGAGGTAAATGTATATGGCACATTTGTTGAAGTCAAGCAAGTATTAAAGGCACTGGTGCATTAGATCACACATCGTACATGAATTTCCTTGATGATTTATCACCCTGGTGATGTCCTGATTTTGAAACAGCCCTGCTGGAGCCTTTGCTTTGTGTCTACTGTCCCCTATACCATAAAGCTGGATCACCTACCATGCTAACCTATGCACACCCTCTCTCCTCCCACTCTTTGGCTCTTCCTCCTACTTTTCTTACTCTCTCCCCTGGATCCATTGGTAGCTGCTTGCCCTGAGCCAATCCTGAGCTATGGCTGGGAATGGACACTTAGCAACCACTCTGTCTATATTGTCTTAATTTTTTTTTTTATCTGCTGGATTTTGTAAAACTTTTCACATTATTTACACAAAACATTTTGAAATATTGTGATGCTGTTTACATGCTATTCACTGATTACAGCTGTTGCCTTTTCATTCATGTGTGGCTCGCTCCTAAGTTGTCTATATGAGTTTTTGATGTATACATGCCTTATTTCTCAATAAAAAATTTGAATAATAAAATGAATTGATGTCTTTTAAATCAAATACATTTCTAAAATTCAGTTACTTTAATGGATGTATTCCCCATCTAGTTTCAGATGCAGTCCAGGTCTGAAATGTGTCTGCCAACCAATTAGGAGAAGAGATGTGTTTAGACACAAGTCCCAGTGCCAGACTTATAAAGGGGCAACAGTGGAAACTGCCCTTGGGCCCCCTTGACAGAAGGGGCCCCCTTTGCTATAAAAATAATATAACACAATATACAAATTATACAAAATAACAAAACATAAATAATAACAATAATGTAAAATCTTAGAAAATGATTTTAAATATTTAACCACTTCCCCACTGTGCTATAGCAGAAATACTGCTACAGGGCAGCACGGGTGTGCAAAATAATGTGTGTGTGTATATACATATATATATATAATATACACGTGATTTTGCATTTCCGGGTAGGGGGCACGCTTGAGGCACACACGCGCTGTACCAGTGCAGCCGTTTACGAATGCGGCAGTCAATCACTGGATGCGGCAGTCAATCACTGGATGCGGCTGTCAATCACTGGGTCCTGGCTGGTGATTACTTGCCGGCACCTGGTACTTGCCGAGCATCTCCGATGGGGAGAACTGTTTGTAAACAAAACAGTTCTCCTCCCTGTCAGCTCCTGAACACTGCTTTGGATGGCTGTGCAGAGCACAGCCATCCAAAGCAGTGTGCATACAGTGAAGAACACGAACACCACACTTAGTAAAACAGCACACAGTTAACCCTTTAATTGCCCTCATGTTAAACCCTTCCTGATCAGTGTCATTAGTACAGTGTCAATGTCAGTGCTTTTTTTTAGCACTGATCACTGTATTGGTGTCGCTAGGGATGTCAGTGACGCCAAGTCAGTTCCCCCACAGTGTGAGAATGCCTGTCACAGTCCCACTATAAGTCGCTGATTGCCACCATTACTAGTAAAAATAAAATAAAAAATCCCAGTATATATACTGCCATTGTAAATGCTATAACTCTCACATAAACCAATTGAATTTACACATATTGGGATTTTTCTTAGCAAAGACATTTAGCAGAATACATTTTGTCCTAAATTTATGATGAAATTAGAATTTTTTATTTTTTTTACTGGACATGTTTAATAGCAAAAAGTCCAAAATATAGTTTTTTTCTCAAAATTCTCACAGTTGATCAAATACCACCAAAAGAAAGCTCAATTTGTGGGGAAAAAATTACGTAAATTTCATTCGGGTGCAGTGTTGCATGACTGCGCAAATGTAATTTAAAATAACGCAGCACCGTAACACAAAAAATTGCCTGGTCAGAAAGAGGGGTAAATGCTCAGGAGGGCAAGTGGTTAATTTGGACTGGTATTTTGTATCATTTTAAAAAATGAATTTTGGTAGCTCAAGTGAACCAAACATATAGTGTTTGCACCAGGGGCAGACTGACAACTCATGGGGCCCCCGGGCAATAGGGGATCATGGGGCCCCTGTGTCCTTGCCCACACTCAAAGCACACCCAAAAAAGCCTATAAAAGGAACCAGGGGCATTTCATGGGGCCCCCTACTGACCCCGGGCCCTGGTTTGCACTCTTAAGGATGGTAACCTGTAACTGAATGTGTGTGTGCACATGTGACCTCAGAATAATGTTGTGTCATGCATTTGGAAAATATGTGACTTTGAAAATGTAAACCAGCATGAGGGGCCTGAACCTGAAGTGCCCTGCACCCCCTCCCCCTCAAGGTCTAAATCTAGCACTGACAATCCCTATATGAAATGTATATTGGAATCTATCAAGTGTCATTTTTGGGTGTAAAGTAAACCTAGAAAATGTGTTGCTGCAAGGTTAATACAAGTATAATGGCACACATGCAAAGCCATTGAGTTGTAATATACAGACCAATAGACCTGAAAGCAGATATATTTACTGCATGATGCCTTTTGAAAGAAGTAACACAAAGAGCAGTATAATCCACAAGCGGGTCTCGCACAGCTTGCTGGTAAATAGATTTCACATTGATAGACTGTCCTACTCTGGTGTCTGTCTTCACTCAACTAAATTCCAGGGGTTAACTTAAATATGTTCTGACATTTTAACTCACTGAGATTGATTTCTAAATGATTTTACACTTTTGCAAGATAATTTTCCCTTACCTTAGTGAATGAGGTGCAGCTTTATTTGACTTCTTTCATCCAATTATGTACAAGAAAAAAGATACACTTTTTTTTTTAATTTTCATTGCACATCATTGTGTATTACTTGAAACATGATGGTTCACACAGCCTGCAGTCTGGAAAATGTGGTGCATTATAAAATTCTTTCTGTGACCCAGCCTTCTAGTATATGTTCTTGTGTTCTTGAGACCTTCACTAAAAACAACTTGACTCAAGTTACCTCTGTACATGACCATTATTTATGACATCAAGTACGAGGACATGAAAACCATCTGAACCTGCTAAAGAGGCATGGCTCTATCAACTGGCAATAACTGTCTGGACACTTGTATTTATTTTAATGTTTTGACAGCAGTCATTGTATTTGTTGCTTTTTGTTATCTTGTCACTTCATTACCACATGTAGAGATTAAAAATTGCATCTCCATGCTGTTTTTCTCATTCTAAACTCTGAATCTAAGTAAGAGTGTAGAATCTAAGTAAGAGAGCAGAATTAGGAAAGGTTTATTTGGCAACCATTATTATTATTATTATACAGTATTTATAAAAGCACCAATAGTTCGCTCAGCGCTGTACATTACAATGGGGGACAGAACAATAACAATGCAATACAATGCAAAACATGAGGGGATCGAGGGCCCTGCTCTTTCGAGCTTACAATCTAGGAGGGAGGGGATGGTGGCACAGGAGGAGAAAGCTGTGGGGGATGGAGTGGTAGGAAGAGTGGAGGAGGTCGGCAAGTTAGCAGGGGGTGGGGTAGGCTTCCCTGAAGAGGTGGGTTTTCAGGGTGTGCCTAAAGGAGAGGAGAGTAGGTGATAATCTGATGGGTTGGGGCAGGGAGTTACAGAGGATGGGTGACACCCTGGAGAAGTCCTGGAGGCGGGCATGGGAGGAGGAGACCAGGGAACTAGAGAGAAGGAGGTCTTGTGCGGAGCGGAGTGTGCGTGTTGGGTGGAACTTGGATATTAGGTCGGTGATGTAGTTCGGGGCAGTATGGTGGACAGCTTTGTACGTCAGTGTTAGGATTTTGAATTTGATCCGTTGCGCAATCGGAAGCCAGTGGAGGGATTGGCAGAGGGGGGTGGCGTAAACGGAGCGGTTGGAAAGATGAATGAGTCTGGCAGCTGTATTCAGGATCGACTGAAGCGGGGATAGCCAGCGGCGAGGCAGGCCAGTAAGGAGGGAGTTGCAGTAATCGAGTCGTGATATGATGAGGGAGTGGATGAGCTGTATAGTGGTTTCTGGGGTTAGGAACGTGCGGATTTTGGCGATGTTGCAGAGGTGGAGTCTGCATGAGCTTGTTAAAGATTGGACTTGGGGCTGGAAGGATAGATTGGAGTCCAGAAATGACACCAAGTACTCTGGCCTGTGGGGCAGGTTTGATGGTGGCGTTGTTGGACATGATGGAGAAGTCAATGGGGGGTGGTGTGCGGGCTGGGGGAAGACAAGAAACTCGGTTTTGGAGAGGTTCAGTTTAAGGAAGTGGAGCGACATCCAGTCTGATACGTCGCTCAGTAGGTGTATGATTCGGGCGGAGACTGAGGGGGTGAAGTGGGGGGTTGAGAGATAGATTTGTGTGTCGTCGGCATATAGGTGGTAATTGAAGCCGTGAGAGTGTATGAGTTGGCCAAGGGAGGAGGTGTAGATGGAGAAGAGAAGGGGCCCGAGGATGGAGCCTTGAGGGACCCCAACAGAGAGGGGGAGAGTGAGGGGGAGGTGGTAGCATTATAGGTAATGAGCGTTGTGACAGGTGGGATGAGAGCCAGGAGAGAGCAGAATCTCTGAGGCCGAGGGAGTGTAGTTTTTTGAGGAGGAGGGGGTGGTCGACTGTGTCGAAGGCTGCAGAGAGGTCAAGGAGTAGGAGCACTGAATAGTGGCCATTAGCTTTGGCGGTTAGCAGGTCGTTGGAGAGTTTGAGTAAGGCAGTTTCGATGGAGTGTAGGGGACGGAAGCCAGACAGTAGGGGATCGAGAAGGTTGTTGTCGTTGAGGTGAGAGCTTATAGTTTCAAAGTATGTGTGTGTGTGTATGTATGTATATGTATATATATATATATATATATATATATATATACAGTTGCAAGAAAAAGTATGTGAACCCCTTGGGATTACGTGGAGTTTTGCATGAATTGGGCATAAAATGTGCTCTGAACGTCATCTAAGTCACAACAACAGAAGAACACAGTCTGCTGAACATAATACTACACAAACATTAGATGTTGCCATGGTTTAATTACACATAACGTGTAAACATTCACAGTGCAGGAAGGAAAAAGTATGTGAGGCCCTAGCTTAATGACTTTTCCCAGAGCTAATTGGAGCCAGGAGTGAGCCAACCTTGACTCCAATTAGTGTGATGATATTGGATGTGTTGCTGACAGCTGTCCTGCCCTTAAAAAACACACACCTGTTTTGGGTTTACTGGTTTCAAGAAGCACTGTCTGATGTGAACCATGCCTCGCAGAAAAGAGCTCTCAGAAGACCTACGATCAAGAATTGTTGACTTGCATTAAGCTGGAAAGGGTTACAAAAGTATCTCCAAAAGCCTTGATGTTCATGTGTCCACGGTAAGACAGACTGTCTACAAATGGAGAAAGTTTAGCACTGTTGATACTCTCCCTAGGTGTGGTCGTCCTGTAAAAATGACTGCAAGAGCACAGCGCAGTATGCTGCATGAGGTAAAGAAGAATCCCAGAGTGTCAGCTGAAGACCTACAGAAATCTCTGGCACAAGCTAACATTTTTGTTGACACATCTACAATAAGGAAAACATTAAACAAGAATGGAGTACATGGGAGGACACCACGGAGGAAGCCATTGCTGTCCAAAAAGAATATTGCAGCACGTTTGAAGTTTGCAAAAGAGCACCTGGATGTTCCACAGCACTACTGGCAAAATATACTGTGGACAGATGAAACCAAGATTGAGTTGTTTGGGAAGAACACACAATACTATGTGTGGAGAAAAAAAAGGCACAGCACACCAACATCAAAACCTCATCCCCACTGTAAAACATGGCGGAGGGAGCATCATGGTTTGGGGCTGCTTTGCTGCCTCAGGGCCTGGACGGATTGTTGTCATTAATGGGAAAATTAATTCCAGAGTTTATCAAGACATTTTGCAGGAAAACGTACAACCATCTGTCCGCCAACTGAAGCTCTGCAGAGGATGGGTGATGCAACAGGACAATGACCCAAAGCATACAAGTATTCAACAAAATAATGGCTGCAACAGCACAGAATACGCCTTCTGGAGTGGCCCAGTCAGAGTCCTGACCTCAACCCGATTGAAATGCTGTGGCATGACCTTAAGAGAGCGATTCACACCAGACATCCCAAGAATATTGCTACACTGAAACAGTTTTGTGAAGAGGATTGGTCCAAAATTACTCCAGATCATTCTGCAGGTCTGATCTGCAACTACAGGAAACGTTTGGTTGAGGTTATTGCTGCCAAAGGAGGGTCAATCAGTTATTAAGTCCAAAGGTTCACATACTTTTTCCTCCCTGCACTGTGAACGTTTACATGTTATGTGCAATTAAACCATGGCAACATCTAATGTTTGTGTAGTATTATGTTCAGCAGACTGTGTTCTTCTATTGTTGTGACTTAGATGACGTTCAGAGCACATTTTATGCCCAATTCATGCAAAACTCCACGTAATCCCAAGGGGTTCACATATTTTTCTTGCAACTGTATATATACTGCTGTTTGGGTCCCCCTAAGTTCTACACAGCCAGGCAACACGCATTTTCCACAGTTTCATCCTAAAACAGCCCTTGAGCTTGGTTTTTATTGTTTTATTAGGGGATTTAACTTGGATGGGGTCTAGGGGTATATGGGATGCCAAATTGAACTGTACAACATTGGAGGATGAACTTCTTAGCAAAAAGGAGAAAAATCAGCAGCACACAGTCTTTACAAGGAGCACTGGTTCCCCGTAGTGAACCTCCTCTGACCCCAGATGAAAAATCTCCTGATCCACCTGGTTGTCTTGAGAGTGACACTGAGCAAGGGATTCTGAGACATACAAATTAAGTGGTCCCAGAGAGAACTGGTTGGGTATTGCACCTGACTGCCCTCTCATTTCTTTGGGTCAGAGAGTGTAGAAGCACTTACACTGGCCTGTGTCCTGTATCTTAATGGGTTGCAGCTGTTTTCAGGCCTTTTGCTGGTCTTGCTCCTTCCCTGCTGACTGGCTGTCTTTTCTAAGTAGATTGTGGGATACTGGAGGTCTTTCTGTCCAGCTTCAGCCTGTAGGCAGGACCCCTCCTATGGGGCCCCCTTTCAGGCTCCACACCAACAACCCCTTTCTCACTCTATCTGCCACCTGACTCTATCTCTTTCTGCTGATCAAGCTCTCCCCTATTTAATAGTTGTCCTAGCCACCATGTCAGATCTCCTGCGTAGTGATTGGCCAGGTTGCAAATCCAAGCCTCCTCCCCTCCTCTGCCCCTCTTCTAGAAAGTACCAGCATTTTCTAGAAGGATGGGATGGCTCCAGAAGCCTTGACCTGTGGAGCCTCCTAGCCTAACCTGAAGTGACCTCACTGATGCATATATCATTAAAGGAACACTACTCAAAAAAATTAAAAGAACACTTTTTAATCAGAGTATAGCATCAAGTCAATTAAACCCCTGTGATATTGATCTGGTCAGTGAAGTAGCAGAAGGGGTTGTTAATCCGTTTCAGCTGATTTGGTGTTAATGAAATTAACAACAGGTGCACTAGATGGGCAACAATGAGACGACCCCCAAAACAGGATCTTTTTTTCCACCTAGTCATCTGTTCTGACTGTTTTTCACTAGTTTTGCATTTGGCTAGGAAGAAGGAATTGATACCACTGAATGGCCCTCACGCTCGCCTGACCTAAATCCAATAGAACTCCTCTGAGATATCATGTTTTGGTCCATCCGACGATGCCAAGTTGCATCTCAGACTGTCCAGGAGCTCAGTGATGCCCTGGTCCAGATCTGGGTGCATGCTAGCACATTATGGTCTTAACTTGCAGGGAGAAATTTTTTTTTTTTTTTTTTTTTGCTGTTTACTACCGCTTTAATTTTTTGTCTGCAACCACCAATTTTTTAGTCACTATATGTTTTTGTTACTTTGCTCACGTCTTAAATATATATTTATAAAATAACTTCTACAGTGATTTTCTGTACTTCCCTTTGTTATACAAATGTGTTCAGTAAATATTCCCCACTCCCCAGATACAACAGAAATACAGAGCAAGCTGAGAAGAGCAATGTCTACGTTTGCAAAAAAAAAGATACAGCAAATATAATTGCTTTACAAGTCCTGTTTGCAATTAAATGGTATTACAATAACCTTTTAATTTAAATCTGTGGCTAATATGATTTTATAAAGCTGCCTGCTTGCTAGAGTGTAAATAAAGTAGCTAGGGGTTTTGGTCAACGTCATTGACCAAATATCGTCATTGATGTCAGCCAGGATCCCTGATGCTGTTGTTTACATTCCAGAAACACCAGGAATTCCATCATTTAGCAGCGATAGTGCGAGGGGGCAACATTATTTCATGGACCGCCATCTTGGTAGCGGGGTAACTCTCGCTTCCCTCCCTTATTTGGCCACTCAAACTTCATGTCTGGGTAAGGGTCTAGTTTGAATTCTAGATGAAATCCCTTGCCATTTTTTCTGTCACTTTTAAAGAACGACATTGTACTGTTCTACAATTTTAAGACATCCTCCAAACATGTTATTTAAGAGATTTGTGTATTTTTGAGGTTACAACTAATCAGCATCAAAAGACCCTCTCCCTATTAAAAATTATTTATTTAACTTTCCCCATGGCAGTGTCAAGCTATCTTTGATTTTTTTGCACAGCAGCTTGTAAATTAGTCTTTAAATTGGCCAGTAAAAAGTATCAAGATTTGGCTCCCAGAACCTTCAAAGGGTTCAAGCTGCTTGGGAGTTCCCTCAGGTTTGCTGATCCTCCTGCTAACTTAAATTTGCCCAGTTTGCTCTTACCTGCTAGATGCATCTTGTACACGGTATGGTATAGAACTAGCCCAGAAATATAATTTCCTGATCAGGGGTGGACTGACAACTCATGGGGCCCCCGGGCAATAGGGGATCATGGGGCCCCTGTGTCCTTGCCTCAAAAAACCCTATGAAAAAAGGTACCAGGGGCATCTCATGGGGCCCCCTACTGACCCTGGGCCCTCGGGCAGTGCCCGAGTTTCCAAATGGTCAGTCCGCCCCTGTTCCTGATTGTGTGCTTGGCTCTTTGCCTTTCCTAAGAGTTTTAATTCTGCACCTATATGCAGGGTATATACCCAGCAATCTGGTAAGGTGATTCTAATGCCATTCTTCTATTCTTCTCCTAAAGGAATGCAGACGCTACATCTTTTCTTTATACAACTCATCTTACCCCTGTAATTAAAAATATATTACTATTTTAGATACTGGCAGCTATCTCACACCTCTGGTAGCCGGTTCCCTAGTTCTCCTTTAGTTCTTACCAGCTCAGATTTTGAACACATCCTCAGGACTGAATTCTCTGAGAAGCCTATCTCCGTCCTGTACAATCATTTGAATATAGTATCACTCATGTAACTGTCAGTTCTTTGGCAAAAATGGCTAGTGGATGCTCCCAAGTTAGATAGTGATGGTTGGTCAGATATATTGTTACATTCCTTTTAAGGTAGGTAGTAGGGCGCATTGGTGGACGATGCTGTGGAAGTATGACAGCTGATGATGGATTGTGTGTAGGGAAACCGGTACTGAGCAGCACTTCTGTGGAGTGCTGTGGAGACAAACTCTGTGCAGAAGAAGGAGAAACAGAAAGGCGCTTCTAAGTGCAGTACTCCAGGTCAACTTTAATAAAAACTGGTTAAAAACACTTACAATGTAGTAGTACAAACAAGCTGTAATGTAATCTGTTAGTAGCAGGGCTCTGTCCTCTGAGCGATGGAGCCACTGTGCCAGCCAGAGCTTGAGGAGAGGCGTTAAAGATGGCCATCACTCTGTTCAGACCGCTGAAGCACAAGCTGGAATGCATGCTGTCCATGGACCAGAAGTGACATGAACATGGAGTGGTGACACTTTTCGGAGCATGAGCAGAGCTCCTTCTTCAAAACCAATGTCCAGGTTTAGGGAGAGCTAGTTAAAAAGGGTAAAGAGGCGGGAAAAGGGGGGGTCAGTGGGAAGGAAGGTACACGCCTCCCAATGACCAAGGTGGATGTAAATACAGAGCGGACTGTTTGGTGTGAAATAATAGGAGACTGGGAAAGCAAGAAATAAAAAATAAAGAGAAATAAAAATGGAACTATGTTTGTAAGGACTAAGTGGGGGTGTATAGCATATTGAAGAATAGTTAAAAAACAGGATTTGAACATTATCTAAGAAGATATATAAAAACAATACTAAATATAAAGATAATAATGTAATTATCATTACAATTGAGAGATGGGTAAGAGGGAAAAGAAGAGGAGGGGGGGGGGATTAAATGTGCAGACGGGTATCTGCTGTGGTGTAACAAATGATACACATAGGTAACCTGGACATATTTGAATATAAAAAATAAAATAGAAAAATTATAGTCAAGAGGTTACAACATAATCAAAGCACATAAGTACAGTATAAACAAAGGATAACTGCATAAATGCGTTTGTGTAGCCACATGCAGAGATGAAACAATATATGTGTATGTGCATAGACAAACGCACATGCACAAAAGCACGCGCGTGTATGCACACACACAAATGCACAACCCCATATAAATATGCATTCACATGCGTTGGCACACTCAGGCATAATGCCCAGCACAAAACAAATTGTACAGTACTATAGGATGGTATGGATTTCAAGGTCCTCATTCAGACCACCAGGAGATAGTACATCCAATGTGTAAATCCAATAGGTCTCCCTACGGAATAAGTGTTGGAATATCTCGGCTCTCGGGAGGTCATTAAAAAGAATTTAAAAAAAAAGATTTTACTAGACCATGATTGGATGATTAAAGTGAACACAGCTTAACCTCATTCCATAAGCTAAGAAGAAACTTTCACTTTGCAAAGTGAATGTACAATTTAAAAAAGTGAACATTTCCTATAGTAAATAAATCCCTTTTTTTCTTTTTTCACCAGCAATGGAAAAATCTGTGAATAAGGGATGTGCCCTTAGCAAGACATACTTTTAATACCATAATGATTTCATTAATTTATTTTCACACTTTTGTATCAATTAAGATATGCTATTTACAATGGCTTCTGCCTTGTGCCACACAGGTGATTGGAGGACCAACACAAGTAAGAAACTGGTGAAGTTTATTTTCAAGTGTTGGTTTTTCTATTTGTAAGTAAAAAGATGATAAAAAAAAACCTAAAGGTTGATTTTAAAAAACTAAATGTTTGCCTGAGTGGAATGCTATCTAGTCTCGCTCAGTTTAGCCAGTTATGCACTGCTCTTTTGCACAAAGGTTTGACATGTGCAAGAATATTTATATGTTTATTGCTAATGTGTCAAAACAGTGCTTCTCGTTGAATGGTAGAACTAGAAAAATCCCATCAAAGCACCAGGACACATATACGTTGTACAAGTTAAAGCTTCACCATAACTGGATGAATGCATGCACATTGACTGCTAAGTAAGAAGTGGAAAGTAGCTTGCAGCAAAGTGGTTTTTAATGCACAAATGGCATCATGAGTATTAATGATCTTTTTTGAGTGTATGCTTTATCAGTGAAATGGAAATATAATAAATAGATTATACATAAATTTATTATACTTCCTGACCACATTAGTATATTTTTTAGGTGTCATAGCAGGGTTACTACCATGCCATTATATATCTATTTATAACATAATTTGAGGTTGAAAAGTACTGGAAAAAAATTAAGTAACTCTGAAGAATTGGTATATATAATATATTATTGTATATTGTTAGGCACTGGCTGGCATATTATGATATGGACTTGCTGTACAAAGCCCTTCTGTACTGAAACTGTCTTTTTTGTTTCCTTTCTGAATTAAAGTGCATTAAACACCTGCTTGGATTGTTACTGGATTTTCTTTGTAACATGGTGTATTTAGGTGAATACCAGTCGAGACTGTATACCTTGCAATATATCATTTTTTTTAAACTCTGTCCTGAAGAAGGAACTTTGTTCCAAAACATGTTGGGAGTTATTGGAGGACTACATCGCTATGAACCAAGATTTAGTCATGTATATTGGTGTATCTGTATTCCACCAGGGTATACTGTATGCTGAATGTCCAGATTTTTGTATTGTATGTGCAATTGTAGTTGAACCACCATCAGGTTTTATAGGCCTTTTGGCCAAAATCTTTATGTGAATAAAAATTGACAATTGGTCTTTTAGCTATTTCCTCTAATTTGTTCTGGCATTAAAGTCCGAAGAGGATTCATGCACATCATTTTGGTCCTTCTATATGCAATTTGGGGATGTTGGCAGTTACCACCTGTTCTGCATCAGTAGGCTCATACCTTCTTAGTACCATGTGATTGCTGTGAACAATCACAGCAGATCAGATGGCAATTGTACACAATGAATGGCTTACATTCATAGTCAATCATTATGTACTATTCTGATGATATATGTAATTGGTCATAGTGATCACATGGTACAGACAGGGACAATTAGAGTGCATCTGTACCATGTGGTAGCTGTTGCCAATCACAGCTTCACAATACTGCACACTAGATAAATGGATGCAATTCATTAAAATGGTTGCTGATAACAGTAATTATCACTGTTATGAGCAATCATACTGTGTAAACTAAAAACTTGATCACCTCCCCAGAGTAGTACAGTGTCACTATGGTAAAAATAAAAATAAATGTAAGTATTAAAAAAGAAAAGAAAATGTTGAAAACAAATCAGAAAAAAATAATCTCTCTCTCTCTCTCTCTCTCTCTCTCTCTCTCTCGAGAGAGAGAGAGAGAGAGAGAGAGAGAGAGAGAGAGAGAGAGAGAGATTACATACCATCACCAGTCAGTGTCCCTGATCACCACCACACCCGTTATATGATGACACTGTAGTGCACTGGTGACAGTATGCAAGAACAATTGTGGAAAAAACTTTTTTTGTATTTCTTCATTTTCCAAAAACTTGGAGGTGGCGGGGGGAGTATTTGTACTGTCCTGTAATTTTCAGGCCTCAAGAAATTAGATCAGGACATCATGACTGATTGATTTTCAAATATTTATGCCATAGTTTGTAACTTTCCAAAAGAGTAAATAAAATACACTAATTTGGGTTGTATTTACCAAAGAAATGTAGCAGAACACATTTTGGCTTAAATTTATGAAGAAATAACAGTATAAACACAATATGGAAACACTGACAATACCCATAACAAGTAATTTGACTGGTTTACACTTACAAAAGTCAACACAGCATGACAAATTGCCAACCCCTGATATTTACAGACAGTTGTAAAAATCACTTATTTTTACAAACTGTCCGTGAATTTACTGATGGTTGGCAACCCTTGTATTGAGGTGGTTAATATTTCAATATTTCAATTTTAATAGGTTTACCATGAGAAAGTAAACTGTCTCATGCACATACTGTATAAAAATGTGTAGGTTTAGAGAATGGTCAAGAAGACCCTGATAATATTCTCTATCTATCATTTATCAGTAGTTAGCTTAGGATCTCCTTATATTTTCTCCAGGAACAGCTTAAGCCAGTGGTAAAGAATAGGAAAGGGTGGGCCACCCTTCTTAAATTGCTGCCATAGCAAGACCTGTAACATACATGTCATAATGGCTAATGGCTAATAATGTGATGAAGATGATGACAATAATAATATAAATGATAATGAATAAAGATGGTAATGGAGAGTGTTAGAGTTGTAATAACTAGAATATATTGATCACATACAAATTTAAATGTATTTAATGATGAATAGGAAAAAATGCTGATGATAAAGATAGTAATGATAAAGCTGATATAAAAGCCACAGCAATAAGGCTATAATTCTGGTGTACAATTATGCTGTGAAATGTAAATGTTATCTGTGAATTCCTAGCCTTTGTGTTTTAGATCACTTTTAATTTCCCCTATTGACAGCCCAGATGGAACAACTATAGAATGTACGTGAGGTAGAACAATTTATACTCAGGCACACCTCCACTTCTCATTACATTTATAGAGTCAGTGCTACCGATTGGGTGGGTTTAGCATGTTTTCCTGAATATTTCCCCCGGACCAGTGAATGTATTATCACACTGCTGCCA